GTTTCCTTTTCCCGGAACCCGGTCGGGTGTTGTGCCCAGCAGTCCTGGGTCTCGAAGGGAGGCCGGATGGGTCGTTAGATTTGTTTTTGGGATGCCCTCTTTTGTTTCGGCGCTTTTTTGAATTTGAAGGACAATGAGGTCGCGGATGTTTTTCTGTGTTTTGAGAGCCTTTGATCTCTAGGACTTTGTCAATTTTCCTCCTTCAGGTGCGCTGTTTGCAGAAGGCCGGCAGTTGTAGCCCTTTTGTTCGCGTCTTGAGAAGAGGAGGGTCGAAGGACGAAAAGTTTCTAGGGGTGACCTTGTATTAATCCTTCGGACCCCCTGCCGCCCGGTCCCCGCTTGGTCCACACAGACACGTCGCTCCCTCCTGTCCTCTCTGTTTGTCCTCCCCCGTCGTGCATTTTGTGCGACCGGTAAGGGTGACTAGTATTAAGGTAACGAGACTCAGATGATCTTTATCTAAATGTAACAAGTTACAAGGTTGAGTGTAACCAAAGAGCCATGTCGTAGAGACATGGAAGGTGAGAGACAGGATTGTGTGAACAACCTCGAGGACGGGGGGGGGGGGGCGGGGAGGGACACTCGGGTGACACGAGACTACCAGTCGAGCGGGTGCGAACAAGACTACTTCAGGTGGTTGGCAATCGTCGACTTGTATGTCACAAATACAAATGGTTACCACAAGCAATCGTTGGTTCCTTTGACTGTGGTCATACTGTTTGCTACTCTTTACGAGGCACCCCAACCCGACGCACAACCCCCCTGCAACCGCCAAAGATCACAATGCTCAACATGAGCGATCTTCCCACATGAAACTCCCAACACTGAAACGTCTGGCAAATGTACTCGTATTTTGGAAGATTGGTGTGTTCCCCCTCCCACTATTTGGCCTTTTTCGTAAAGTACCCTGGAAATGTTCCTGTTAAATTACATTATATTTTTTCCCCTGAATCACTCCATTGACTATTGTCATCGCAACCAGAAGTAATTTTCGTAGAGATTTACGTACGCAATTGTACAAATCTATAAGTGACAGTGGGACTTAAGGAGCCTGTTTGACTTTTTATTGGACTTAGACGTCCGTCTCAAAATACAGCTCACGTAAGACCCACTAAAAGGAAGATTAACCCACAAAAACCCTAGATTGATCAATGTTACATCGAAGACCATGCAAAAAACTACCGGAAAAAAGCAGTATCACGAGCTCATAAACAGAGCAAAAAGAGGCTACAAGTATAAACTAACCCCTATTATTATTGTAATACTGTGGTTCACGTTGTGGCGTCGTAGATCTTCCATACGTGCTCCTAACACATGTAGTGCTTAATCGTGTGTTAAGCCATTTGCTTACTCATCCCGACGAGCTACTACCGTTTTTTAGTGTTAGAGCTAATAAACCCAGTTATTAACCTATAGTCGCGTAATAATTTTTGCTAATAGGTAAATGAAAACTTTTGTAGTAATAAGGCCTCTTTTACAAAAGATTGTCATACAAACAATCGTCAACTAAATAGGACTTTTTTTCGCGTTATTTTTTTTTGATTTAGCAAAATAAAGCTAATCCGAACAAAAGTCATTAGCAACTTTCGGGTTCGGTATTTAGCATTAACGCTAATTTTATGTTACATAACTTCGTGGGATGCTAACTCCATAAGACAAGTTTACAACACCCAATAACGTTACACTGTACTGTACTTTTTACAGGCAATACAAGGATGTACTAGTTTCCATGTAAAGCTACTTGTATTTTTTCATGTTGTCATACCATAATATGTAGATCTCTCAGTAGAGATTATCGATAATAGTTTTATAATTTGCAAAGTTTTATGTTTTTTTCTCCACTCTCATACGGTAACGGTGGTTGATAAACAACTGACACCGTCTTAAGGCACACGTAAAAACTCAGTCTTGCAATTCCCCTATGCCATGGATCAAACTCTTTGGCCGAGCTCCTATCGTGAAAAACAATATAAGAGTACCTTACGAGAATTTCAGTGGCTATCGTTACTTATAACTTCACGGAAACTGTTTTTTAGGTATTTTTTATAGTAGACACCTTCGCGCACATGACATTTTTCGTGCTGTTTTAGTAGACTCGGCCGGCCGGTTTTCATTGACCTACGGACGGACGGGACAGTCGGAAAGGTAGACTACGTGTTTTGAAAGAGGCACGGCAGTGAACCATACACGCGCAAGCACACACAACTCCTCCCGGAGACCTTCCTTCCCCGTCTAAACAAGGTCCACAGATAAAAGTATTAAGATCGCGTGAGCTCGACTAAAGAGGTTTTACTGGATGGGTGGAACATTAATTTTTTCCTGTTAATTTATCATAGTGCGCCGACTTAACTTATTATAGTTAGACAGACAAAGTCACCGTCACTTAGCTATCAACCTGTGAAACGTCCGTAAAGCCTGTAAATTATGTTTTTATACCTACTATCAAAACTTTATTATCTTAACTCAATAGTACTTAACTTTGTCAGATTGAACAAGCCAGTGGCAAAGGACGTCCCAGTCGCGACGGAGAGTTTCAGATTTTTTGCCAGATTCTTTTGGGCCGTCTTCTGTCAAAAAGGTGATAAACCCAGTTTAGTTGTTGTTGGCCTCTTGTTACAACTGAGGAAATCTTGAAGGGGGTTTTTTTAATACTTGTTGATAATGTTTGGTCGCTGAAAATTTTTATAGTTTTGACTTCCCTACTAAGTCTTTCACCTACCGGATAAACGCCGAAATTTTTACATAAGTTTTTTGTTAAAACCACTTTATTGTAAATCCTCTTTTAAGCTGTCTTTAGAAAAAAGTTCTTTGCACTCTTATTTGTTTTCTGTCCTCCAGCGCCCTTGTTCATTTTGCCGGCTGGCCAGGTGAGTACGGTTGTGTCACAATAAATGAACAGTGCTGGGTGTCTGCTTTGTTTTATTTGATGTTGCGGGTCTCCCCAACGAGTCTCTACCACTAGTAGAGGGCGGGTCGTAACACCAGGTCATGGTACCTTTTTAATAAAACAACACATGGCCTTCAGGAACAGGAAGGATTTAGTAACAGTTTGAATTAGCATTAGGCACTGTGTTGAACTCCTTGAGTTGACACCTGCTGTCAGTAACTTTTCTGTCATAACAAATGAGGTTTAAAGCATATTCTAATCTATAGGATGTGTTTTGAAGACTGCTAATGTGAAGATTTCAGGCAGCACTTTATGCAGCAGTTGGACACTTCTTGAATTGTGTGGATGTTTGGCAAGTAGCTGATTCTCTGAGTGACGTTCAGCAATCATATAGAAGGAAGATAAATACAAAAGACACAAGCTGCAAACTGCAAGGCCTTACTAAAGCAATCACCAGAAGGGTTTGAAATAACATTCTCAATTGTTCTGGAAAGCATAAGCGATCACAACATTATCACCGTCCATCACTCTTGCTCCTGTATTCACGTTCACACTTGTTCTTTGAGTGGTGTTACAAATCTGGGAAATCTAAGACACCCTCAGCTGAAGGAAAGGAAGAAGAAATGTAAGAATATTACAACCGTTAATCCCGATCTGTAATAATAACTTCTGGTATGTCTCCTTTGAGTGAACACTGAGGCGAGTCTTCTTCCTCTCCAGCAGAGCAGCTTTCACACCAGATCTCTGTTCATCTGTTAGCCTAGCAACTATAAATGCTGATTGATGGCGAACAGGTGGCTGACTTATGCAACTTTATGAATATGGATGTTGTTAATATGTTGAACACAGCGATCTGGCAACAGTTGCATGCTCCATAGAAGCAAGAGGGGAGGAAGAGAGACAGCGGGAGATAGTTTCCCACCAGCAGTAAAGGTCAGTGAGAGGCCTGTAATCGAATGCACCGTGGGCC